AGAAATGTATAGCTTTAAGTTTTTTTTCTTAAAAGACAAAAAGTTGCAAAGAACTGAAAGGAAAACTCAAAGTAAGTAGGAACAGGAAAATAGTAACAAGGATATCAACAAAGTTGAAAATAGACAAAAAATAGAGGAAGACAGTAGAGAAGATCACAAAGATCAGAGCTGGATGAAAAGTAGTAAGTTGATAACTAAATCAGTAATATTGATTTTTTTCAAGGAGATAAAATGCAACTAACAGGTAACAGCAGAAAAGAGGGGGTGTTACTACAGGTCCTACAGATGTTTGGAGGTATTAAAGGAATATTATAAATAATTTTAGAGAAATAATCCAACAATTATAAAGGAATTGAACAAATAACTGGGCACGATACTGTGTATAAATTATATCTCATTAAAAAACACATCGAAAAAGAGCTTATGTTAAGTTTAGCATGCATCTTGATTATGGCCTATCTTTGGTAAAAATCTGAAAGAGGCCATATATTTATATACATTAGAACATTATATATATAATAAATAAATGATTATAGTTGATTGTAGAATTTCATGACTCCAGAAGTAACAGCAAAATGTCTTTATTAATCTGTCCTTCTCTGTTCAGTACATTGTTTTTTGTAATGAACCACTGGAGCTATAAGCCCATCTGGAAATGTTGCAAGAGTAGCATTAGTTGTAATAAATAGTGATGTGTGTTTACCATATAAGTTAAGACTCAAGTTAAGACTCCAGAGCCAACAACTGCAAGACATTTGAGAAGAGTCCAATTCCACAGAAGCTGTTTTACAAGGAGACAAGGAAGTCCGGAATGCAGAGCTGATGTTGGGTTATTTATGGGTGGTAGTGGTGGTTGTTGTTTTTATAGAACAAAAATATGGTAGACATTGCATAACCCAAGGGGGATTTTGCAGTGGGAACATCAGTAGGATTCTTGGGATAAAAGCTTGTTGAAGCGTTTCTTGACATGCTAATAAGTGCTCACACTTGAATATTTTCACTAGCAAAAATTGTCAAAATATCAGAATACAACCAGAACCCCTCCCCCCAAATAATCATTATAAAGACTAGGAAGTTTACAAGACACTATGCCTGATTGTCCCCACCTACTACTACACCTTACAAACCAGCATGGTGCTGGGTGCATGGTGTATGCTCAGTAATAGTGGTAGTGCGTGAAGGCACCCAACCTGACATCATTCAGTCTACTCAATGCTCATCATTCATTATGTGTTGTGGGGGTTGCAAAAAGAACACAAGACATGCAAGACATGTGGCCTGAAAACCCTTAACTTCTAAATAGGAATGCTGGCAGACATGTGAAACCACCAAGGAAAACAGGAGCTCTTTAATAACAGCTTCTTGTCGTAGGATTCCCAGCCTCTCTCATTTCCCAGGAAGATAACATTTCATTTGGTAATAACTGAGCTCTCAGAGAGGTTCTTATCATCCTTTAAAAGTCCTTTCTCTCAGTTTTCTTCAGTTTCTAGGGGAACATAAAGAATAGCTCCTTATTACTAGTTCTGTTGTCCCAGTATTGAAACAGACTCACAATTCCCATGAATCCGTCTGTTTTGTTTGCTTGGCTGTTGTGGGTGCTTAGAGAAGGGGCTGGGAGTAGGGAGGTGGGGCCGTGTATTATTTGATTTTTTAATAAGTAAGGGCAGTATATCAGGGAGATGTGATTACCACTCACAAACAGTGCGTTCATGTCTTGCCAGACACAAAGCATCAAAGATAAGGACATTTTCCAAACCAGCTTTGGCTTTTCCTGGTACCAAAAAAATAGAAAGCTCATGAAAATACTTGTTTAAAAAAAAAAAAAGGAATAGGCTTAGAGAAAATACTCTAGTTCTCAGACTTTATTTGGCAGGGAAAAAATAGAGTGAAGCCAAGCAAACTTTTCCATACCCCCAATATGCCTTTTTTTCTCAGCCATCTTTTAAAATCTCCAGTCTTGACACAATATTCCAGTTCCAGATCCTCACTAGTCTACAACCAAAGAATAATTAAGATCATATTTACCCGCCAAAATCATATTTACTTTTACTCCCCAATCATCTCCCTTCCCTATGGCATCTAAAGCTATTATGGCAAGTCCCATGGCGCCATCCCTGTGTGCTCAGAAACAGACCCTTCCTTTCCTGTCTCAGCCTCCCTCTCACATGACCTTGCTGCTGTCTGTGCTGCTGGGACCCTCACAAAACTGCTGACCACAGGGTACAGCTGCCCTTGCCAGTGACACATACTGTTCCCAGTTGACATGATGGGGACACTTCTGCTTGGCCTCCTTCTGCATGGCCAAGTGAATATCATCCCTGCTCCCAGTTTAACCACTTCCTAGGATGATTGACAATGGGGACACTCATTCCCTCCACTCATCTCTTGGGTAAATAATTGTTGAATGTCTGTTGTGTGCCAGGCACTGCAATAGAAGATACAGTGGGGACCGAAACAGACATGGCCTCCAGTCTTCATGGAGTTTAAAGTGTAGGACTGAAACAAACAAAACCTAGATAAATAATTACATAAACAAATGTTATTAGTTATACAATGACCTAAGTGCTATGAAGCAAAATGGTGTGGGCTCCATGAGAATGCCTAATAGAAGGAGACAAGTCAGATTAGGGAGGTCAAAGAAGGCTACTCTGAGCAGTTGACATCTAACTTGGCACTGACATCTAACTTGGCACTGACAGCTGGGTAAGAAGTAGCCTGGTACACACTGCTTAGATAGTGTCCCCAGGCAGCTGTGATTGTTGACGCAAAGAGCCTTTTGGAGAAAGGAGCTTGGGAAGACCAGTGTGGCTGAAGTGAAGGGAGT